TAGCAGTTGCATTATTGTATGTCATGCTATATTGCATATATAAAATTATAAGGTGTTTACCTGGAAACAAGATATTCTGAGTATTTGAACCGATGGAATTGGTGGTTTCTAGATAATCTCTGTATCACTTTATTTACATGCAATGAAATATGGCAAGCAATAATACCATCGCTGTGTCAAATAGAGTGTAGTATTTCAGATTCAGACTAAAGTAACCACAAGAAAGTAAAAAGGATATAAGATCTGTCATATGTTGAGAAAATTCTAATAACTTTACTTTAGAAGAAAAAAAAAGTTTAATGTTAAATCTTAAAAATTATTTTGCTATAAAAATAAAAACATGGAAGGAAAGTCAACCATTCATTTATTCTTACAACATCGATTTATTGAGTGTCTACAATTTGCTCTGGTAGCGTAGTGCCTAAGGCATTTAACTGCTAACCAGAAAGCAGGCTGTTCAAACCCACCAGCCACTCCCCCAAACCCACCAGCCACTCCCCGGAAGGAAGGTTAGGTAATGTACTTGCATATTGATACTGCCTGGGAAACCCAAGGAGGGGTCACTATGAGTCGTATAAGACTCCACGGGCAGTGAGTTTTTGAGAGTTTGACTACACTTTGCAGTGAACTTTGTGAAGAACTGAGGCTATAAGTACGAACAAGCGAAAAACCTTGCTTTCAAATCCAATTATTATAAATACAAGAGTGTAAGTAGATTGATAGATGTTGGACAAGGTATTAGAGAGCACTGATGAAGCAAGCTGATGCTTTCAAAATGAGTTAGTTAGGCAGCAAGAACGGAGAAGAGCATTCCAGACAGGGCGTGTTTAACAGAGTAGAAAAGAAGAGAGAGGAGACATTGGAAAGGTGGAAATGGAAACAGGGGAGTGGAATCAATGTCTGTAGAGGCAGAAGATAGACCTTTGAGGCAGAAGAATCAGAGTGGCAAAGAGTCATTTGTAAATCAACACAGTGTCTGTAAGAAAGTATCCTAGTTGTTTTTTTTTTTGTTTTTTTTTTCTGTGTATGGCAGCATGAGTATAGATTTTGGGGGCTTTTTAGTAATTGAAATACTTCTCTCTATCTCAAAAATGAATTCTGAATGATCAATGCAATCATGTATAACAATTATGTCTAAAGTCATCTTTATACCTTTGGCGCCCAGCAGAGAGTATGTTATGTGGTTAAAAAAAAAAAAAAAAGAACTCTAACTGCTGTCGGTTTGATTCCAACCCATAGCGTTTCCAACTCCTTGTGTTTCCCAAGCTGTATCACTACAGAAGTAGATTACCCAACCTTCCTTCCAGGGAGTGGCTCATGGGTTTGAACTGCCAGCCTTCTGGTTAACAGTCAAATGAGAAATGTCAAAGGAAACATGTAAAAACATTTGGTGATTAAATCCACATGAGATGTCTGCATCTAGTGTTGTCCCAGATACACACAATGTAATCATCTAATGCTTGTTACTCTGTGTGGAAGCAGTACCCTCATGCCTTTTTATTTCCCACACTTCCATAGAGTAATTAAAATGCATCATGTAAAAGATTTTTAATGGTTATATAATGCTTCAGAAGAAGGAAAAAGGATACTTCAAAATGTACCCCAAAGATGCATTATATAAAATTATGGTCAAAATTACGTAGTGGAAAAGGCATGAGAGAAACTTAAATGCATATTGCTAAATGAAAGAAGCCAATTTGAAAAGTTACATATGGTATTATTCCAACTATATGAAAAAGGTAAAACTGATCACTGGTTTCTAGTGTTTGGGGGTTGGGGAGGGATGAATAAATAGGTAGAGCTCAGGGCATTTTAAGGACAATGAATCTGTTCTGTATGATACTAGAATAGAGTATGCAAGGCATTATGCATTATCAAAACCCATAGGGCTGTACAACACTAAGATTATACCCCAAAGTAAATTACAGATTTCAGTTAAATATAATGTGCTAATATTGGTTTATCAATTGTTACATAATGTTTTAAAATTTTTATTTTGGTGAAAATCTGCACAGCAGAACATCCATCCATTTAATGATTTCTACATGTAAAATTCAGTAGCGTTAGTTACATTGTTCACATTCTGTTACCATTCATTCTCACTACCTCTACCCATATTTTTTCACCAACATTAACTTAGACTCACTACCCCCTAAACTTCTTTATGCTGTAGAGTTATTGTTGTCAACTTGATCTCATATACATAATTCTTTAAAGGAGTTCAATGCTCTGAACATTCTTTCCTAATCTAGCTAAACAGTTGTTTTGTTTAAAGATGACTTCAGGGGATAATTTTGATTCATGGTTTGAATATTTTCTGAGAGCCATAGGTTTGGTGGTTCTTCCAGTCTTAATAGGTCTAGTAAGTCAGGATTCCATAAGAATTTGAAACTCTGCTCCATATTGTTTCCCATTATGACCTGGATTCAGCTGTTGATTCCTTGATAAAAATGTTCAACCAGACACCATCCAGTTCTTCTGGTTTCATGGAAAAGGAGTCAGTAGTGCAACATGAATCTTGAAATGCTAAATGTCATGGAGTCCCTGAATGTTGCAAATGATTGAGGATTCCACTACTGGCCCAAAGATTGACAATTCAAACCCAACCAGGCACCTCAGAAGACAGACCTGGCTATATGCTTCTAAAAGGTCACAGCCTTGACAAGCCTGTGGAACACAGATTTAGTCCACACATATGTGGTTGCCATGAATGGGAGTCGACTTGATGACAGCTAACAATATGTTAACAATATGCAATACAGAATCTGTATTGTCACTTGTCACTTTCTTCTTTTTTTCTCCACCAAAATTAAGCAGTTAATCTGCAGAAAGTTTCATTTTTTCTACTCTTATTTATTTCCATTCTCCATTTAAATAATATGCTCAAGGGGTATCAACAAGTAGATAGCATACAATCATCAGAGAAAACATTTATCTGCAGCGCCAGACAAAATTTAATAATGACCTCTTTCCTCTTGATTCTAAGCCCTAGAGTCAGTCTCTTCTGAGGTCTTTGAAGTACCCACTTGGGCTGAATACACTCAGAGAAACTCAGCAAAATAAGTAGCTTTAAGCAAACAAAATATAAACCCTAATCATTTCCCAAGTTTGCATAATCAACATCATTATTTTTTACTAAATCTGCATTCATGGAGGTTAAGTTAGCCAAATCTGTCTTTTCCCACTTTTCTTTTTCTGTATTTGATCTTCTCACAGTGCCTTCACAGCCTGGAGCTATGTTCTCTCTCCCCAAACCCCCAATATTTTAGAGTTTTTTTTTTTTTTTTTTTAATACTTTTTTTTTTCCTTAGAGTTTCACAAGTAGCAGTTTTATTACTGAGACTCACTCTAAAGAGTTTAACAATAATACAGGTCTTTTTACTTCTTTCCATTTTATTTTTAAGTAGTAGTATGAGCTAGAATAGCAAAATAGTTAAATCTCTTGATCATCTTACTATGTAATTCTTTCATCTCTAGACTATCAACCTAGTGGTAAAAACACCTGTAAATATCATTTCTTTCTCAGGAAGAAAATCAGTGAGGATTCCTCCAAACTTTCATTTACCACAGGAAGAAAAAAATATGCCAGAACCTCCAATTTTTAGAACCAAAATGGCCAAATGTGGAAATAAATATCAGTTGAGCATCAACTATGTGTCAGATACTGCGTATAGAAGTAAAGAAATCAAATAAACTCACTGCCCACACAAAGCTTACATTTCAGTGGGAAAGACTAAGGAATACACAAATTAAGGAATACACAAATTATTAAGAGAGTCTTAGATAATGTTATTACATCTTAGATTGAATATTTTGTAAGAAATTGGTCAGTTCCTTTTTTCATTTTGTTGATGCAAAAATGAATATCTTATTCATTACATAAGTAGCTGTATTGGTGCAGTGCCTAAAGCAATTGAATGCTAACCAGAAGGTTGGCAGTTCAAACCCACCAGCTGCTCCATGGAAGGCAAATGCAATGCAACCACTGCCATGGAGTCTCATCTAACTCATAGCAACCCCTCCTTGGATTTTCAAAGTGTTATCACTATAGAGGTAGATTGCCCAACCTTCCTTCAGAGGAGTGGCAGGTGGGTTTGAATCGCCAGCTTTCTGGTTAGCAGTCAAATGCCTTAGGCACTATGCCATCAGGGTTCCTTTTATCCCACCTGGGAAATCCAATGGGGAGCTCTATGAGTTGCAATCAACTCGATGGCAATGACTTAATCTCTACATAGCACATTTGATATGCTTTGTTTTTCTTTATCTTTTCATTGTTTACTGTATTCTGCCTGAGTATTGCTGTGTAAGAATGAAAGTACAAGATTTTTAGAGCTGTTCACATTATTAGCCAAACTTAAAGCATTCTAGCAATGTTATTATCTTTCCTTGGTTGTGTCCAGCTGCCATGGAGTCAATTCCAACTCATGAAACACCATGTGTGTGAGAGTAGAAAATGAATCATAGGGTTTTCAATGGCCGATTTTTCAGAAGTAGATTGCTAGACCGTTCTTCAAAGTAGTAATATGTTATCAAACTAATGTTAAATTCAGTATTATGTATGCTGATGTATTTCCAAATATATTTTATCCAATCATCTAAGCAGCATATAGTAATGAAAATTAATATGTTAAGTAACATGGAATAACATTTTGATAACAATGGAATCAAGATATTTTAATAGCATAGTGCTATTGCCTATTGGCTAAGGCACTTGACTGCTAACCGGAAGGCTGGTGGTTCAAACCCACCAGCCACTCCTTGGAAAGAAGTTTGGGAAATCTACTTCCATAGTAATACTGCCTCAGAAACCAAAAGACGGGTCACTATGAGTTGGGTCTGACTCGACAACACATAACAACAAATGTTTGTATGGGTCAGCCATCAAGTAGTTTTCCTTTCTTTTCAATGAAAAGTTATATTTTGAATATTTTTTCTTTTTGATGAAGTACATTCTTTTCACATATAAAATGTGTTCTGAAATATTTGTATTCCCTTTTCAGGAATTTGCTGCACTGACAAAAGAATTAAATGCCTGCAGGGAACAACTTCTAGAAAAGGAAGAAGAAATCTCCGAACTTAAAGCTGAAAGAAACAACACAAGAGTAAGTTCAAAACTACTTTTGTGTGGAATTCATTCCATCTACAGTTCAGTCCCATGTATAAAAACAGAATATAAGCATTTTAAAAAATTTAAGATGACTTTATGCAGACACTAACTCACATTTGGTTCAAGTAACGAAAGATAGGACATGACTCATAACAGGAAGCCTAAAGTATAGTCTGGGGAGCTCTGGTAGCATAGTGCCTAAGGTACTTGACTGCTAACCAGAAGGTTGGTGGTTCAAACCCACCAGCCACTCCTCGGAAGGAAGGTTGGGCAATCTACTTCCGTAGTGATACCGCCTCAGAAACCCAAGGAGGGGTCACTATGAGTCGGGTTTGACTCGACGGCACATAACAACAACAACAAAGTATAGTCTCAGCTACTAAATCACTATGTTGCCTTAGAAAATGTTCTCATTCCTTCTGGCTTTGCTTTTATTCAAAGAAATGGAGGGCTTGATGCCAATAATGGGTTTCCAACTTTCAAATTGTTATACTGAGTGTGGAAAGACAGGCATTGGGGGCTGGAGAAGGGCAATGAATGAGAAGTTTATGATTGAAGTAAGAGTTTCAATGATGGAACGCTGAGTTAGGGGCCTGAATTCTGGTCCCCACCCAGCCCCAGCAAAAACTACTTAAAAAAAGAAAGAAAGAAAACCATTGAAAAACATCCCTAATATACTACTTAAAAGAAACAATCATTTTACATTTTGCTAGAATCTCTAGGAGACTTCTAGTTCTGATATTTTGATTTCATGAAACTGATAGACTTTACTACTTTCCATTCTTAGAAATCCATGTATTCTATCAAACCCATGACTTGCGACTGTAACATTAATGTTCAGAATTTGATCAAAAATGCTATATTTTTTAGTTCAGGAGAGAAAAAGTCATTACATTTCATAAAATATATAAGCTGCCATATTACCCATAATATAAAGCGGAGGGTCAATAAAAAAGGGGAAGGCCCTCAACAAGATGGTTTGACACAGTAACTGCAACGATGGGCTCACCTATAGCAAGGATTGTGAGGATGATACAGGACCAGGTAGAGTTTTGTTCTGTCATGCATAGGGTCTCTAGGAGCCAGAACTGACTTGATGGCACCTAACAACAACAACATTACCTACAATATGAGAAACTACCATTTTTATGCAGATAAGTTCAATTTAAGTATTGTTGTTGTTGTTGTTATTTGCCATAGAGTATTAGTAGGTGAAAAACATTTTAAGTTATATTTTAATATAAATGATTAATAATACTGAGAAAATAAGGTATAATTAATGATATAGTCATTTTACTTTAGAAAGTAATATAAAAACAGAACTGTACAAACTGAATTTGCACCTCTGATAAGAGGCACAAGGATAGATGAACAAACTCAATTTATGCCCTTTTTCATCAGGGCCTTATTTTATGGGAAAAAGAATTCACACACTGTGAATATAATAAACTGGTTTTCACTGAAACTTTGATGAGTTAGTAGTGGTCACAATAACTACCTCTAATAGGGTATACGAAGGACAGCTTAGATCATGTTATTAAGAGTCAGATGAATTTTTTCTTTTCTCTCTTTATATATTTTTCCCACCCTTAATTTGTAAATTGTAAAGTGTTCTGGTGGCATAATGGGTATGACGTTTGGCTACTACCAGGTCAGCGGCTCAAACCTACCAGCTACCCCATGGGAGGAAAATGAGACAATCTACTTCGGTAAAGATTACAGCCTTGGAAACCCAGTGGGGGTCACTATGACTCTGATTGACTTCATGGCAGTAGGTTTGTTTTGTTTGAATTTGTAGCTTACCCTGTTTCTCCATATATATTTAAAATTTATTTCTGCTTTGGGATTTATACTTCCATAGGGATACTGCCTTGAAAACCCAAAAAGGGATCACTATGAGTCAGAATTGACTCAATGGCGGTGAGTGATGATGAAAATGAATATTCTACTGTTTACTATTTTAACGACTTAGGCTATATTCCCTAATATAGCACAGTACAGCAAGTGTGGAAGTAGGAGCAGGAAGATGAAAATAGAAACGTAAATCTTTCAATAAACTTCCAACTAATATTCACATTTATAATACACTGTTGTTGTTGTTGTTGTTGTTATGTGCTGTTGTGTCGGACCTGACTCATAGCAAACCCTCCTTGGGTTTCTGAGGCGGTATCACTACGAAAGTAGATTGCCCAACTTTTCTTCCAAGGAGTGGCTGGTGGGTTTGAACTGCCAGCCTTCTGGTTAACAGTCAAGTGCCTTAGGCACTACACTACCAGAGCTTCTTTATAATACACTAGACTCCTTTATTAGATGTGTATGTATTTTGTCTGTCATTCCTTTCTACCTCCCTATGAGTAAGATGTTATAATTATCCCTGGTTTATAGATGAGGAAAATGAATTCAGAAAAAGGTAGATAACTTGATTGAAGTCACAGTTAGTTCATGGCAAGTAAGAATTTGAAGGCTAAGGGTGCTAAATCTATAGCCTATGCCCTTAGCCAGGAGGACACCAACATAATTACTTTAGTTATATCACGAAAGAGGTCAAAAACTTGCTAACACTTAGAGGAACCATTGCCTAAGAGTCTGCATGGAGTGTGTCATTTCTTCCTGATTGTAACTATCATCAGAGAACTAGGAGAGTTGGCAAGAGAATATTGGTAATATTCATCATAATACATGCCATGGAGCCCAGCAGTATCTGGCCATTGCCTGTACAAAGGAGTGCTGGATGATAAAGAAAGCATGGTGACAATCTATACTTGAAATAGCTATTCAAGAATCAAAATGAGAAAAATACAAATATTAAGTTCCTTTAAGATAATGGGCACTGACGCTATTGATTTTAAGTACTATACTTTGAAAACATGAATAAATTTGTGAAACATTTTCTATCTTCCTTAAAGAAATGATGTGGAGGATTTTTACTGTTTCCTATCTCAAGAAAAATGGATTTATGAAACCTTCCTTGTGCAAAGTATTGATTACATAACTACCACTCACCATCTTATCTCCTCTCTAAAAAAAATACCCAAAGCTAAAGATTAGACTAATTTCATTCTCTCTCTTTTTCCTCAGAATGCATTAATAAATATTGCTAACTATAGTGGTTTTTATACATTTCTATAATAGTTTCTATGTACTGTTTGTTTCTTCTTACTGTGAACATGTACTTACTAGCTATGGAAAGAAAGCAACAAGGTAATATTTCTTTTTCACACCTAAAGAAACCTTGATTAGTGTTAGATTGCATGCCAAGTTTAAAGTAGAATTGGGTATTCTAGTTCCCTGGGTCTGATAAACTCATGTCTCTCTCCACACTGAGTAGTTGGCATATGCCTGTGAATTAAGATGAATCCCACAAACAGTCCACAAGATAACTCTTGAGTAGATGGAGTCATTTGTGCTGATTTTGAGCAACATCAAGAACAATAGATTAGAAAGGTCTCCCTTGCACAATGGTATTTGAACTAACTATGCCCTGTCCAAAATTAAAATAAATAATAAATAAATAAAACTTTTGGTGGGAGTTGAAAGTATGTAGTTAAATATATATATCTCGCTCTCACTGCCATGGAGTCATTTCCAACTCATAGTGACCCCTCATTGGGTTTCCAAAGCTGTAAATCTTTACAGAAGTAGATCACCCAGTCTTCCTTCTGCAGTGCAGCTGGTGGTTTTGAACCACTGACCTTCCATTTAAGAGTCAAGTGCCTTATCCACTACACTACCAGAGCTCCAAATATGTATGTATGTGTGTGTGTGTGTGTGTGTGTATATATATATATATATATATATATATAAGCTCTGGTAGCCTAGTGCCTAAG